GCTTTAAATTGCTGTCACTTTTTTTGAGAAGGAAAGGCTTGATTCAGCTTGGTATCAGTTGGGGTATATAGCACTTCTTAGGAGAGTCTATGTGGTTGGCATTGGAGACAATCCTTTTTTTTAAGTCAATTTTGATCCTCTCAGAGATTGAAATAGGAATAGAATTACACCACTTTGAGAGCTAAAGGTTTCTCTTGAGATGTCAGATACCCTCATGGGGTATAGCTGGTTCTGGCAGAAAGAGCTTTTCCGAATTGCATCAGTTACTGCAATAAAGTAAATTGCTTGTCCCGTCTTTTAGACAAGGTGAAAAAAATACTGATGTGGAAGCAGCTCACATTGCTGCCTCCTGATCCAGGCTGAGATCATGAGATGACCTTGTCTCAGTTCAAAAAAGCTTGTGAGGTCCTTCTGAATTCATCAGTGCTCTCTCTCTGAAGTGAAAATATGACAGCTGTTTTTCAAGGACACTGAGGGCAAAAAAATGGGGGGTGGGAGGGCAGGGAAAATAGATCGATGCAAATAAAATGGCAGTGTTGATGGATGTAATTTTGATGGAAGTTAATAATAAAAGAATTAAGCTTTCTCGTGACAGCATTTGGGATGAATTGTGATTTTATTCCATTGCTTTTGAACATGAGTTTTGATGGAGATATAAATTGCCAGAATCAGGGATGTAATCACGGAGAAATCATGCTGTCTGACCTGAGGCTTCTAGAAGCCTTTATACCTCACCCTCTACTGCTTTTCAATTTCTTTCACTTTTTTTCTGCACCCTGCATCCCCCTTCTGCCATTATCCTTCCTCCTCCCCCTTCTGCCCACAAGGCTCCTGATTCCCCGAGCAGCCCTTCTTTAAGCTTCTCCCATTTCTTAGGATTTAGGGCTAGGTTGCCTCTCTCTAGGAACGACTGCAGCTCAAAACAGAAAGCCAGATACTGGTTTTGTTCTTTCCCAGTTGTGAATTCAGAGCCCTGGCATCAATACAATAATGAAACCCTTGTTGGGTTTCATTCCCCGCCCTGATAGAGCATTGTCCATGGGATTCTGTTTGTTGTTACTGTTAGTGTATCATGGGAGATGCAAAGCCACAAGCTGGGAGCAAACAAGCAACAGCGAAAAACAGCCACAAACAAATAGCATTTGTCAGATCCCTGTTGTCAGGGGGTTTTAATTCAAAGTCTTAAAGCTGAAGTGAGTGTGCAACGTTGCCCCAAAACATGGAAACCACCAATAGTAGGTAAATGCAAACATTTTGCTTATTATGGTGACTACAGCTTTTCCCCTTACTGCTGCATTGCTGTCTGCCAGGATAACTCTCTAAAGGGCAGGTGGAAAATTTCCATCCTGGTACATGCCAGCAAGCAGTGGTAGGGAGGCAACAACTGGATGTTTTAGAAATTCAGCACACACAGACACACACCTCGCTCCCCAGCAGGTGAAACACCTCGGCACCTCCACTGTCAGCCCATGGCCAGGGAGAAAGAGGCTGCACAGGGGCCTCTGAGTGATTATGAGGTCAGGCAAATAGAAGCAAACCTCTGGCCTGCTGGAGCCCAGCCTGACTGCGAGGGAGCATTCCCAGTCCTGCCCATGGGTCTGGCTCATTGCTGTCCTCTTCCCCCAGCCCTGGAGGGATGTCCTTCTGAGCAGACCTGGAGCTGAAGGGATGCTGTCTGCTCCCTCCTTGCTCTCCTCATGACAGTGGTGTAGGGCTCTTGGGTCACACACAGCTGGCAAATGCTTTGAAGATGGCACCTATGCTGGGGCTGTGTGCTCTGCTCAGTGGAGCTTCTTCATAGACTGGGAGCCCTTGGGTAGCCATTGGCATCAGAGAGTCATAGGATCACTGAGATTGGAAAAGACCTCTAAGATCAAGTCCAACTGTCAATCCAACCCCACCATGCCAACTAACCCATGTCCTGAAGTGCCATGTCTACGTGTTTCTTTAATACCTCAATGGATGGTGACTCCAGCACTCCCTTGGGCAGCCTGTTCCAATGTTTGACCACTCTTTCAGTAAAGACATTCTTCCTAATGTCCAATGTAAACCTGGCACAACTTGAGGCCATTTTCTCTTGTCCTGTTGCCAGTTACTTGGGAGAAGAGATCTCCTGGATGCCCAGAGGTTTGCTGTGGGCAGAAGCCCCAGAGCACACCCATGGAGATTTTGGCATATGGTCAATCCAGAGACCTAGATATGTTGGGCAAACTAAGTATAAATATCTAGGCAGAGGAGGGTCTCTGCCAGCTGAAGCTGGGCTTCTCCCAAGTGTTCCCCAGACCTTCAGTACTTTCCCAAATTTTTCTCTTCTATTACAAAGCAAAAAGAAAGCATTTTCCTGAGGTCTGTTCCAGTGCTGTGTTACTGGGTTGAAGCAAATTTTGTTGCAGTCTCCAGTGTGATGGCCCATCTCTCTAGGCAAAAGTTTCAGCTGCTTGTGCAACTAATGTAAATACTTTGAACAATTTTTTTTTCCCTTTGATGTGTGCTTAGAGATTGTGTTAGTGTTAATGATAATCTGATCTCCCTACTTGGCTCAGGGTTCTGACATGCAGATAGATGGGCCATATAACATTTAATTTAGCATCCCAGTTTAAAGGATTGGAAATTTGTTCAGGGAATCAAGGTTAGTAAAATGCATTTTTGGAAGTTACAACTATGTTCTTGATTTACAAAAAAGTTACATCTTTAGTAACAATTTTCTGAAAGTGTCTGAAAACCAGAAAATGCTACCAGCTTTGCAAGGAACTGCTGTATTGGGTTATCTTGATGAATGAAGAACTTTCAGACCCTTCTAGAGGGTACAGTCATGTGAGTATGGGATGTGGAAGTTTACAGCAAAGGACGGGAGGAGTTGCCTGAAGTTCTGCTATTCCAAGTGTTAGCAAGGCAGCCAGCTCCTCTTCTGAACCCGTGTGAACCGTGGGAGCCCAGGGTATGAATCAGGGCGGAGACTAGGTCTGTCATTAATCCGTATTCAAGCTCTGTTGAGGTCAGTGTTTGTCAGAATTTTGTGTTCCCTGCTGCAGAGAATGGCAGCTCTGTATGATCAAGTGCCAAACTGAAGAAAAAAGCAAACAAACAAAAAAACCCCAAACAAAACCAAGAAAGCAGTTTTTGTATTTAAGTTAAAATAATAAGATATTGTTAATAGATTTTGGATGCTTTCATTTCAAATGGGAAGTGAATGCACCACTTCCCCTGGTAATCTGTGAACCCAGAGATTCACAGTGTTTGGCTTGACTATTCATGATTTATTTACTTTTTAAAATTCAGACATAGGCATGTGTGTGATGATTTATTTCTCCTTGTAATTGGATACAGCGATTAAATGAGCTTGCATATTATACTTCATTGTCCTTCTGGGATGTTGTCTGCTGTGTCTTTAAAAAAGCAGCTCCTAATGGAATTATTCCAGCTCCTATATATTTGCTGTAATCAGTGATGTGTTTAAAAAAACTTGATTTGGAAAATTGCTTTTAAATACATATCCTTATGTAGGAATTATGTAGCTAACTAAAGAGTGGCACATAATCCTCAGAGTCTTCCTTTAAGATGCTTTGCTACCTTTTCTGACAGGCATGCTTTAGGAAAAATAAATACATGCTCACTATTTTGTAACCTGAGAGTAGGTCTAAGTAGCTACGTGTAGCAGAAGTGTCTATTGTGCTGCAGCCCTGGACAAGCAATTGTGGTCTGAGACTGTCATCACATAATTAATAATTTTCCATAGACTAGTCAGGGATGATGTAGAGAAGATACTGCTTTTTGGTAAGAAAAAAAACAAACCAAACCAAACAGAATTTTAATAATTGGCCTTAATGACTGACTGAATAAGCAAAGCTGTTTAATGAAAAAAACCTTATTTGCAGAAAAAAAATAAATGTGGGAAGATAAATGAGTTATCATTTTCACATAGATACAGGCATTCAGAAGCTACACTGACTGTGACTGGTGCTATGCAAACACAGAGTAAGAGATGGTACTCTGCCCTGGGAATTTATAGGGTCCACTAAGAGAAGAAGATCCAGTAACCTGGTGCAGCAGAGAGGTGGGAACAACAGTGATAGGAAGCCTCGTTAGAGAACTGGGTATGGACACAGCTTGCAGAATTTTGAATAAGGAGGATATCTCAGTGATGCTGGTAGTCCCAGTGTTTGAGATGGTATCTTTTAATAAAAAAACAAACAGTCCTATCAGCAGCAACTTGAGGTTCTATCAGTATATCTGTTTGGCTGAGTTATTTTATGTCTGCAAACAATGCTTAATGGCAGCCTTTCCTTCAGTGAGACAGTAATTTGTCTCTTTCTTTCTTCTACAGATGCACTTGCTCCCATTACTTACAGGAGCATAGTGTCTTTGGGTATTTGCTGCCCTGTCTCAAATTTGGTTGAAATTTGTTAACAGAATCAAAGGTTACAGAATCAAATGGAGAGGAAGACTAATAATCAGTTGGACAGTTCATTTGCAAAGGCCATTTTCCTCTGGGGAACAAGAAAGAAGAAATGCTGAAGGAAAGTAGAAAGGATGCTGTTTGTAGCCTATTTAATCTGAAGAGGATTTGGAAGTTTGATCATATAATCATAGAATACTCTTGAGTTGGAAGGGACTCATCAGGATCATTGAGTCCCAACTCCTTTGTCTATATAGGGCACCCCTAGAATCACACCATGTGGTCTGCAGTGGGATCACTATCTGAAACTCATGTTTAGTGCTCTTGGCATTGCTGGCAGGAGGCCAAATGCACTGGAATTATCTGCATGGGACCATGGAGAGATGAGCAGAACGGGAGTGAGGACACTGGGTTTGGACTCTGAGCCTTGGCAGGTACCTCCAGCCTCTGCTGAGCCCGTATCTGCCTCCTGTTCTCTGTACAATGGAAAAATAAAGCACATTTTATAAACACTGTGTTGGCATTTATGGCCTAAAAGAGCAATAGAAATGAGAGATGGCAGCAAGTGCTAGTCACAGCCAAATGTTATCAATAATGGTGAAACATGATCGTGGAGCAGATGAACCAAGAAGCCTGGTTTAATACAGTATCCTATTTGTTACTACAGTTCATGATTTTTGCCTTTATTCTAAAAATTGCACCAGATTCATGGATGCTTCTGCAGAAAGGTAGGGTTTACATGTCTGCCAAGGAGGTTGGTTTGTGCCCCATGGACAGTCCAAGGAACAGCTGGCAGTGTTGGTGAAGGGGTGAAAATTAAGCAGTTTCTACAAGATACAGAACACATCTCTTGTATTAGATGCTTTCTAGTGTGTACATGAAGGATACAGTATCTTGTAAGAATTGGAAAAGAAAGATACAAAATAAAACAGCTGGACTATACCAGCTCAAAGTTATGCCTGAGAGATATTATTCTGCGCATATTTTTTTGTGAATACATCAATACATAGCACTAAAAATCCAAAATAATGGCAACAGTGAATATACAGCTTTAGAAAATTACCCCACTGGGTTTCCATGCAGTAATTGCTTAATATCTCTGCTTTATTTGACTGAAATAAGCAAGACTGTCAAATAAAATCCTTGTGTAACTACAGTACAGCTGTATCAAGGATCTAATGATGAGTGAAAATCACTTCCCAATGAGTGAAAATAGATTGAAAGTTATCAAAATAAAGGTGTAATGTTGAACTACTGTGTATTGCAATCAGCCGAAGGTCCTTGCACAAGAATGTGGTTCTGCTGCCACAGGGAAATGTGCCCATGCAGGTATTTTAACTCACAAGCAGCTGAACTCTGGATAATGTCTGTTCCTTGTGTCTTGCTCCTGTATGATCTTTAAACTGTGCAAACAGAACCTTTCTTATTTCTTTCATTCTGCACAGAGTTGTGCAAAGGGGTTGACAAACCTGATCGTTGAAAGTTTTTAGATGTTCTTAATACATACACAAGCTGTGTACAAGGCATTTTTTTTTTTAATTGCTCTCTTCCATTACATTGTAATAATGAGAAAAATTGTCTTTAATTACTTGTTAACCTGTCATTGGAATGATTTGGATGTCACAGTATGGCAAGTACGATTTCAGGTTCATAATAAAAGCACATATATCATGTAAATAAGTCTGCAGTTAAAGTAGCATTGTGTTTTAACACCACCATCACAAAACACATCAGGTTTTTTTTGAAGCTCATTCACCACCTGGGGAAGCAAAATGCAGCTGCCTTGTGAATGCTGTGACACTCATTGTTCTGGTTTTATGCTGTGAAGCTGTGCTTCACTGCCTGGGGAGCAAGGCAGGTGTGGAAATTTAAGATGCAGGTATCAAGTATGGCCCTGTTTGGGTTTTGGGTTCTTCTGGGTGTCATGTCCTTCCTGATGTCCTCCTCCCAGTACAAGGAGGTCTGGGGTGTGCATTGTAGGTGTTTAGATATTGCAGAAGTTATTTCAGAGGTATCTAAGCAGTATGTGTCCATCAACCTAAGCTATTGCATACCTTGGACAATATGCTGGAAATGCATCCTTCAGCCCTGCAGTGAGATTGCAGCATGCTAAAAAGCCTGTCAGGTCTCCTGTGGGGCTCCCCAGATGTATTCTCTCTTCCTCCTCCTCCTACTCCCTTGCCCAGCAGAGCCTGTAACACATTGCAGACATGCAGCACCTTTGCTGAGCCTTTGGCATCCGTATGTCAGATATGTTGGCAATTGAGTCACTGCTTTTGAGGTTACATGACAGTGGACCGCATCTGCAAGACCCTCACCTAGTCTGTGTGACCCAATATACCGGAACTGTCCCATTACGTGACCCAATGCATTGCTGTTTCATGTGCTAGAAGAATTCAGTGGTCTATATGTTAGTCTAATGCATGTTATTGCCGTCTTTTGCAGAGATTTGGACCAAATCCAACAGTTCTTGCTCAGATGAAAATGCCATCATTCCCTTTGCAGGCAGTTCTGCCAAATCTACAGAAGCCAGGAGCGTTTTGCCAGTGGAGGCTTTGTCATGCTTGGCTTCCCTAAGGAGATGCTGTGATGTTTACTGCACATGCTCACAGTGCCACATGTTGGGGAGCTTGCACTGCTTAGCATATTTATGATAATTTGGCTCCCAGGGGCAAAGAGGATTCTTCGCATATCTCCTTCCCTGGGCTGAAGCACAAAGAAATTTCCCCTTGCTGCTTCGTAGGGGGAAAATACCAGATCAAAGCTTCTTGCTAAACACTTTTAAAAATACACAGTGCAGATCCGTACATTTCTGTTCTCTGAAGGGACCTATCCCTCTGGTTAGTATGGAAAGCAGTTAGCAGCAGCTGATGGGCATAACAATGCATACAGAAGTCTAGGCATTGAACCTGAAGAGCTTTGGATGTGGCATTGCCACATGTAGTTTGACCTGCCCTTTATCCATACTATGTACCAGTATGGAATGTATTCTGGTCACTATACAGTAATTGTCATCATCTGCTGAACTGGATATTGTCCACATACTGTGGATTTTGGAGCCTGTCCTTATGAAATGAAGTTAAATAGTCTCATTATGTATTTAACATATTGCTAATTAAGGTTTGTTTTTGTTTGTTTTTTTTTTTTAAATACATATAGATGTTATTTTTGGGTTGTAAACTTTCGATTCGTAAATTTTTGATTCATATTTTCAGAAATGCAACCAAAAAGTTAAAGTATCTCAAGTTGAAGACCCCAAAATGAAGAACTCGCAATCTTATTTTTGAAGATGTGATGGTGTTTTTATATTTATATGCAACATTAGTTCTGAAGGTTACTGTTTCCTAGGATAAAATTTTCCATTTCAGTGATGAGAAAGACATGCTGAGCTTGAAACTCGGTTCTTCCTCAGTACCATGTGAGTGTTGGACTGCAAAGGTGAAAAGAATGAAGATCAACTACATTTTCCTTTATTTTAACTTTCTGAAAGCCTGATGTGTAGTCTAGTTTTAAAGTTCCCTTTAGACTCAAATGTGTGCTGAGCCAGTGGACATGGGAGAAGGCCTGAGCAGCTGTGAGCACCTTTGAGCAGCCACTTGGTAGCGCCCAGCTCACGGTGGCAGAGGGGGCAGGCGATGCCACCTCATCGCGTGCGCTGCTCTCTGCTGCTGGGGACCAGGCTGCAAAAGGTCTTGAGGGGCCCTGCTGAGGAAGTGACAGCTCTTGGTGGCACCTGGAATTCATGTCATAGAGGGGGCTGGGCTGGAGGGCATTGCATCTCTGTAGGCACCTGGACGAGAGAGTGATGAGTGGGATACAAAAAAATCCTGGTACAAGACAGAGGCAGAAAAGCAGAAACTTGCCTTGTACTTGCTCATACGACTTTCCCCAAGACACGCTGGTGACACGAGTGACAGGCAGTGTGCCTGGTGCAGGTGAAAGCCCGTGAGGGCAGACCAGCACACTGTGCTGTTGCTGTGCCTGTCCTTCTCTTCTGCCCCATGAGGCAGCTGGACCCCAGGCAGAGGGATGAAAGGAACCGTTAAATCTTTTATCTTCCATCCTGCTGCTCCAGGCAATCCTGGCCTGGCCGGCTTATTTTAAACAATCAATGGAAGGAGAGGATGGATTTTCCTCCTAAAGCACTTTGGGAGATGCCTGATGTGAACAAGGAGTGGTTGCCTTCTGCAGCGAGGCTTTTGTGAAGGCTTCACCTGTGTCTTAAAATGCCTCAGTTTACTGTCAAGTGAGGTGTCACTGTAAGGAAGCTTGGCTGCAGTAGTCAAAGGCTTTTTTAACAAAAAGTGTCAATATCTTAGGGTGACTGCTATTGGCAACATTTCTAATAATTCAAAATATATCAAGCCTAGTGGATTTGTCCAATTACCCCCACTATTGTATCTGCACATTAATCACCAGGGCTCCCTCCTACCTGGGGAGAGGAGAGAAAAAAAAAGGAGCTTCAGATTTCTATGTAGAAAAATTAGCGCCTCATTAAAGCTAGACAAGTTTGACATTTGCTCTCTGCCTGTGGTTCCAGGGCTTTTTGTCCCTCAAACAAAATATGAGACTGCTCCAATACATGTGATAGCAGCAGCTGGAATGCAGCTTTAGGAGGATCTTTGACCTTACCAGACAGAAGGCATTTGATTCATTCTGCGGATGTTAAAATACTGCCAGAAATCTCTGGGAGATGACCTTAGAAATTATTCCTAGTTCTGATTTTTTGTGCTCTAATAAAAATTCTGGTTGTACAGGTTAAATATCTTGCCCTTCTGTATTTTCTTTTTCTAACCTAATGCCTGAAATTAATGGCTTGCTCTTTATTCCTTTGTGCATTGATTTCTCAGCGCTTCAGAGGTTAGATGACATAACTACTATAATTGTTTTAATACATTAGCAGCAAATTATATATTGATGTTCTTTTTTTCCACTGACCTTTCTTTCACAATATAATTCTCTTCTTTTGCTTTGTGCTGTATCCATGGTGGCATAACTTTTTTGAGGATTTGATTTTGCATTAAGGGGCAATCCTGCAAGATCCTGAGCGCCTTTGCCATCTGCTGAATGCAAGGTAGATCTCAGACCACTCAGCACCCTCTCAGACATGAGCAATATCTTGCTAGATCAGATGGTAATGTTAGCAGTTTGCATGTACTGTTTGTACTTGGAGACATCCTGACATTTTTAGTAAATTGCTGTGGAATTACAGATTATGAGAAACTCCTATCTTTGAGAAGAGACCTTCTCAACTCATTTTTCCATTTCTGCAGAACAAGCAATTTTCCTTTTACAACTACAACTGGATGGACATGGATCTGCATTGCTGAAAGGTTTCAGAGCATTGCATAGTATGATGTAAGCCAAAACATGCAAAAATTCTATATGTAGCAGTGTCTGTCTTGAGGTGTGATTATAATTTTCCTCATTTTACAGAAATGAGCAAGAGGAATGTTCTTAGTGTTAAGAGCTCTCAGCACTGAGAGGCTGAAAAACTTGCAAATGCTGTAGCCCTCATTTAGTTTAATTTGAACTTGGTGAGTGAATATTTAAAATAGCCAAAAAAAAAAAAAAAAAAGTATTTTCCCTGTAGAATAGTAAGTAATCAGTATCCATTTTACTCAGGCACAAGGAGCTCATCTGTCTGTGTGCCCAGCTGTAACCCCATCTCACAGGGCTGCTTTTCTTGATGATGGTGAGAAATGCAAGTTTTAACTCTTTCTGAGCA